TTTTTTCATTATTTTATTTTACTTGGTCCTTAAGGAATTCTAGAATTTTCTAATATTTTCATTATTTTATATTTTAATTTTGCTTGCTTCCCAAGAATATCTAGTGAATTCTAAATAATTTTTTAACCCCCTAAGCTTTTCTTGTTTCCCAAGTTAGTCTAGAGAATTCTAGAAATATGCAACAATGCTAATACATTTCGATGGGTCCACAAGTACTTACCCACCTATCCACCACTCATGTCTATCTATTTATAATTTAAACCATTTGTAAATACTTCCCAAATATGTTCGAACTGGAGCCAACTATGAGAGAAATCTTAACTGATCACAGTTTTATTAACTACGCATTTTCTATTATTGATTAGTATTATATTGTAGTGTTACGAGTGGAGGAACAGAATCACTTTTGTTTTGAAATATACTGACTATCTTGGGAAATTGAAGTCAACCATCCAGTATAATTGTCTGAGCGTCTCCATCATTATATACTTAGTTTACACCTTCACCTAACAACACTTGGCCTACAAATTGCACCATATGAGAACAAGATGGATATAAAAAAAACACTTCCCCAATTCATATCATTAAGATAAGTCAGAACACCAATGCTGCAGAAAATTTCTTTCTCGCCATCTAAGCAATTCCGAAATATACTCTCTCACACTAACACAATTTTTGAATTGTATGATTGAATTCGATTCAATCCACAAACAACTTAAATCGACAGTCTGAATAATTTGATGTCAAGAATCAAAGTGTAACTCATGATTCGCTATTTAAGTTCAATAAATTCATGTCTTGAAATTCATAAAAATCAAAATCATATTCTACCAAACTCACTAGAAAACCTTTTATATTGTTTTTCATGACAAAATTATCTAACAATGGCCATGGTTTATGCAAGTGGAGAAGAAGAAAAGAAAGAAAAAAGTACAAAAGAAGGGCAATGACATGGAGGTGTTAGCGGAACGATATAAACGTTCAACTGTGTTAAAGGGCAGAAGGATAGTTGACATTGAATATGTAAAAGAAGAAAAGCAAGGGAAGAAAAGTAAAGTAAGCTCTAGTGGTGAGGATGCCATCAATGGAAGGATCTATATCGTCCAATGGTCTGTAGTGAAAATAGGCCTCATTATTTTCTTTCTTCTTTTTGTCTTCCTCTTAAGTTTAGAAAATAAAATAATAAAAAAATTTAAGAGTATGGTTCCACGTCAAAGGCTAGTTAGAATGTATTGTTGGAAATGTAAACTTGATGCAATTTTACACTATTTGACAATTGTTGCAAAATGGAAGGTTGAATCCATCATTTTGTATATAGGTTGATTTTCGTCATTCTTATTCTAGCAACCAATTCACACTATATGCGTTCGATCATCAATAACATGGGTCGGCATATGGCATATGGCTTCTCTCTTTTTCCCAATGTAGGTACTGAAACACGCTACCCACAGATCACCACGTGCAAAAACTTGGAAAGAAAATAGTAAAAATTTCAGGGAAAAAAAAATCCAAGCAGATAGACTTAAATTCAGGAAACCTTTTCAAAAAAAGAATATACTTGATATTCTGTTCCTCATCAAATTAGACGACGGCATCTAAACTACGTGAGGGACTTCTAGCTCTTTTTTCTCTAATGTAGGTAGCACCATGAAAGAGTGCCTTTTTTAGTCTCCGCCCCCTAAATAAGACCTTTTAGCAAATATTAACCTTATTTCAATTATATAAGGTTAAAAATAGTTTTGTTCAAACGAATCAAACCTATGCAGTATTTTCCACTTAAGCTCTCATTCTCTCAGCCACCTAAATGCACTTCATGAACCTCTTATCTTTAAACCTTTGTTCTGAAATCTAAAGTCATGGTAAATACAACCTCATTCTCCCAGCCACCTCAGTATTTAATGTTCTGTTGCACTTGCCCAAGGCGTTCTTTGGTGATCCAACACATTTCTCTTCCCCCTCAAAATTAATTATTAAACAATTAAATAAACAAATAAAGATCAAAAGAGGGGCATGAAGAAAACCCATCATGATTACATGCAGCTGACAGGAGCATCAATTTTAATGAGTCTATAAAACAGCGTCAAGAAAGTGATTTTATGCTACCGTGGAGAGTCTAGTCCTCGAAATACTAATGAAAGATAAGCCATATTGTTTACTAAAGTAGCAAGAGGGAATTTCGATAGCAAGAACCATAGGGAGACACAGGCTGGACAGAAAGCATTTTAGCTATTGTGCGTTCACAAAAAAAAACAAAAAAACAAAAAAACAAAAACAAAAAAAACAAAAAACAAAACAAAACAAAAAACAAAAACTATTGAAAGTGTTAAAATGATTCTCAGAGGAATTTCCTAAAATCTTACACTTAAGATTTCTAACTTTGTTGGTATTCAGGGTCAAAAGTACTACTCTGTCACTCCTCCAAATGGGTAAAATTCCAACAAATCCAAACATGTCATTAACAGGATACCTCAAAAACAACAAGTTCACTTGGCAGGCCAACCCCAGTAAGCGAAGGGCTGAACCTAGCAATTTAAGGTTGAGCCAATTAAATTTGAGATTAATTAGATTCCAAAAAATGTGTCAGTCAAAGTTATGGGGAGATGGCCAAGTGGCAAACTGTTAATAGATATTCAAGAAAAACGATATGAAGAATCTAATGAAAATAACAACCAAACTAATGCGCGAAAGCCACGTGTTTCAAATGGAACCACCTAGAATCAACGTGTCCAGGGAAAACAAAAATATTAAAAAGCCCATAGGCTTGGGATATCTATAAATAGCCTAGAAAATCCTAAAGAAAGCAAGCAATATTAGAAACCCTAACAAATTCCTGTTTTTCATTTCCTAGGTCTTTACTTGGCTGCAATCATCCCCGGAAAACTGCTTCCCTAGAGCTCCGGTTACCGGAAGAGGGCCTAGAAGGATATTAAACAAGGAGGTAGCAAGGAAATTGTTGGCTTCAACTTTTTAGGGTCTACAATAACAACTCAGGACAGATTCCCAACCAAGTTTCACTTTAAGTAACTGTTCAACAACGTTCCAGCCTCCTAAATCTAATGCTATATGAACATCACTGACTACTTAATGGAAAAGGTTATCATATACATAAGGCATGACCAGAAAGAGTACACCCAAAGCAAGGTCATCTTAAGTTATTTACCTAAACATAATCCCATAATAACTTCTAAAACAAATTATGTCAGACGTGCCAAAGAGCGATCTTCATATCAATTACGACTTATGCTGCAAGTCTTGCAGTAATTTTTAGATATTTTGCAGTCACCAAAAACATTAAGCATTTGATCCCCAGCACTTGTTCCCTCAATACAAGACTGTTACTTTGTAAAAGAAATATAAGCATTGTGCTTCATTTTTTTTTTTGGCAGGGTAGTAATATTGGATATCACTGGACAAAATTAGGAACAAAAAAGGAGCTTAAATTGTCTATATTGTTTATCAAATTTGCATTATGCACTCGGTGTAATGTGTTGGTAGCTTCAAACTTGTCAACAGAATCACAATGGTTAAGCAATTCAAGTTACTTAAAACTATCTCATAACAGGCAACGAAAATACCTTCCTACAACAAATTGCACACAAACGACTACTCCACAAATATTCAGAAATGCACCGAAATTTTCAAAATAATCATTGTAGCACATACTAAAAATAGATATCACAACTATGACGTAGTATCTAATTCTAAGGTTCAAGGTAAAAACAATTCAATCAGTAGCATCTCAAGTGTGAACTAAGAAACTCTAACGTACCGAATTAATGATTTCTCAACTGGAGCGCTTGTAAGAAACGTGTTTTCTCGCGGCCCTAGCATTTTCATACTCGAACTTCAACACATTGGGGATGTGAGAGGTATCCTTAACATAGAAAAACCTCCCAAAAGCACTATCTTCAATGGTCGGAAAGTAGCACCGGAGAAAAGAATTCACCACCCAAAACCAGCCTCCACCAAGCACCGCCCCAAGTGCAGCTCCAGCGAAGACCTGAGCCACCGTGTGATACCCCAAATACACCCTCGAATACATAGTAAAGACCGCCAAAGGCCACACAAGAAGTCCCACAACCCACAATTGGTTTCTGGCTAAAATCCCAATCTTATAATATGTCAAAAGCGTGAAATAAACAGCAAAAAAGAACATGTACTGAGAGTGGCTGGAGGGCCAGCCATGGGAATCGCACATTTCAAGAAGCGCACAGGTTTCTGGCCGGGCCTGCTGGACCGATGTCTTGATAATTTCATTGATGAATTGCGAAATCAACAGACCCAACGCAAAGAACATGCCCTGAAGCTCGCGGCGAAAAATGAAATGAGAAACGAACCCACCAAGACTAATGAAAACTGGAACTAAAGAAATCCATGCCAGGAAATGGCCAAATTGATCTCCTCTTTGGTACATCACATGGGTAAGTGTTACTGCTTTCAAGGGTGGATGCGCGTGTGAATTCAACATGATTTCTTGAAAACTTATCGGAAAATTAAGAAATAACTGTACTAATCAGATCTTGAACTATGCGGATTTTTGGAAAGAATTGTCTGTATAGAATTGCGTGAATTTAGAGGGAAAGGAAGGTGCCTTAAGAATCTGATTTTCGTTTTGTAGAGACCGTTTTGCGGCCACGGAACGTAGGTGTGAGAAACGGATGGAGAAATGATAAGGGTACACTATTACTCTTGCTATTGGTCTACACTTACTTTTACATTCTTACTGATCTACACTTACTTTTACACTCCGCTCATGTGATGGGTCCCGTGATTATTTATGACGGGATCCACTCATGTTGTGAGAGTGTGAACAATGATATACACTCTAGCATGAATTTAGAGGGAAAGGAAGGTGCCTTAAGAATTTGATTTTCGTTTTGTAGAGACCGTTTTGCGGCCACGGAACATAGGTGTGGGAAACGGATAGAGAAATGATAAGGGTACACTCTTACTCTTGGTGTACACTTACTTTTACACTCCTTTCACGTGGTGGGCCCATGATTATTTATGATGGGATTCGTTCATGTTGTGAGAGGAGTGTGAACTATAATGTACACTAGAGTGTACATGTTGCATCTCTCAAACGGATAAGGGGCCTCAGTGGATGAAAGTACTGGACCATCCCAAGCTGAGTTGGCCGGTTTAGTTCCATTAAGTTTGATGCTTCACCAAGTTTGTATTTCATCATGATTTACTCACTCAATTTAAAAAAAAAAAAATTCGTCCCAATTGATTGAACTTAGGTCCGTTGCTTTCCCTCACTTAGTTCCGTTGCTTCCCCTAACTCACGGGATGAATTCCAGCTCTGTCTAGATGGCAAACGGTAAATCTAATCGGAAGGGGATGAATTCCAACTCTGTCTAGATGGCAAACGGTAAATCTAATCGGACTGTTAAATCACTCCAAATGGTAAGTTAATTGCCATGTCACCTGCACGTCAGCAAATGACTCACACGCCCTTCTCATGCCCAAGAAATTCGAACACGACTTTGCTAATTCAAAACCACAAACCGTAAGGGCATGAATACCATTTCTCCCAAATCAACTCATCTGTGAACTCTAATCCCCAAATCAAGATCAACAATGAACGAATTGAAGAACCCAACCCAAGCGTGAAGAAGCAGTAGCTCTTCGGTCCCAAATTTTTTAGCAAGGAGTCATTCTTTCGAAACGGAAAGCTGCTCTTCAACCATAGATTATACAGCACAAACGACGTCCCACAGATTTCTGATCAACCGAGGACCACAAACTTTGGATTCTTGAAGGCGTGCACATGGACGGACCAACTGAAGGTAATTTCGAATCAATTTGTTTTTGTACGGGTAGATTTAATGATAGTGCAAAGATGATTATGGAAATGTATATTTACAGGGAGCAATATGGGATGGCTATTTGGAGAGAGAATTTTACTTTAATATAGTTAAAATCTACATTTGACTTGTAGGCAGTTTCTGGATTTATACATTGTTAATGTGAATAATCAACTATACAAGTATCCTCTCTCTTTAGAATTGACCATTTCTTAGTGGAATGTCGTTTAGGTCAAGCTATTAATTCTATGCAAATTTTTATGTTGTGTCTGAGGCAAATTTTTATGGTATTTCTTGTAAAAAAAGTCGGACTCCAAGTTGTTATAGATCAGTTCCTTCTTTTCATTTAGGATTAGTCTGATCTATTTTTAGATTGACTGATGTATGGTTTGCAATTTTTTTGGTGATTATCTTTGCATAGTCCACAATTGCATACTTGTAATGCTAAACATATTTTTATATAAGTCATAAAATGATATGAGTTCATGACTTTGCAAGTGTATTACGTACTAAATTTTAATGTGCTTTACTTTTAAGACTGGTTACGAAGACGATCCAGACTTCATAGATTCCGAGAATGACTTCAACGACAAGGCACGAACATGACAATGTGCGAAGCTATCAACATCAATGAAACATCAAGCTCAGCTGATGAAGAATCAGCTACAAATGAAGAAGCATTATCGTGCACCATCAACTAATCAACGGGAGGAGGACCACCAATGGAAAGGCGTCAGCATGAATGATGATAGAGGATAACAAAATTCTGTTATGGAGCAAATGGGACCACTTCTTTCTGTTAGAATATTCAACGTTGTTTTGCTGTGAATTAATCATTATTTGTATAGAATATTAGCATAGATTTTCTTCTTCTAGATCCTTCTCATTGTATTATAAATACCACATTGTTGTACAGTTTATATCATTCAATTCAATGGATCAATTCGTTTCTTTTTAATATACAGCTTCAGTATTTTTAGTTAAGTATTTCTTATATGGTATCAGAGAGTTGTGCATGATACCACAATGGAATCAACAAATTCAGATCCAAATTCAATTCAGAATGACGAGCAAAATCCAAATGCAAATCCAAAACCAAACAATATCCCTGCTCCAAATCCCAGTGACCCTTACAGTCCATATTTCATCAGTAGCAGTGATAGTTCTGGAGCTATGCTGGTTACTCATGTCCTTGATAATACCAATTACTATGCTTGGGCAAGATCCATGAAAAGAGCACTTCGAATCAAAAATAAGTTTGGCTTCATTGATGGAAGTTTAGCAAAGCCTACTGATCCTAACAGCCTGTTGATGGAATACTGGCTTCGCTGCAATGACATAGTCATTGCTTGGTTACAAAATACCATGGCAGTTAATCTAAAATCCTGCACATTATATGCCGAGACAGCTAGGCAACTTTGGCTGGATTTAGAGTACCAACTAGCTCAGCAAAATGCTCCACGGATTTATGAGGTTAAGCTGGCCATCATCACCCTAATGTAAAATAAGGACCCTGTAAGTGCATACTTCTCGAAATACAAAACTCTGTTGGATGAATTAATGAACTATGAGTCGATTCCTAATTGCACATGTGGGGGGCTGAGACCTGTTGTCGAAAATCAGCAAAGAGACTGGGTAATGAAATTTTTGATGGGGCTGAATGATTCCTACAAAGCAATCAAGGCTCAAATTCTCTTGGTTAAACCTTTTCCCACACTCAATGAAGTATACTCCTTAATCCAACAAGAAGAAAAGAGGCGGCAAATCTCAGCAGATCTCCCCACATCTGATTCAATGGCACTGGCCACCAGAGGAATGCTCAATGATGGGGTAAAACAGAATGGAATTACACAAAGGAAATACTACTGTACGTAATGCAAAATACCAAGACACTCAATAGAAAGATGCTTCAAAGCCAATCCTGACAAACCGGCTTGCAGCCACTGCCATATGCCAGGGCACTCTATGGATAAATGCTTCAAAATCCATGGGTACCCTCCTGGACACAGGCTACACAGAAAGGGAAACTTCTCAGCTAATCAGGCGTGCTTGTAGGGAAAGGAAGGAGCTGGAAATAGTAACCAAGTGACATTCACTCAAGAGCAGCAAGCTCAACTTCTTGCTTTACTCAAGTATCAAAATATTCAATGCCTTACTGCTTCTACCTCAATAGACACACAAATCCCTAAACACTCTGGTATATCTCATTATCTATGTGCATATAACTGCAGGACTAAAAGAAATTCTGATGCATCATGGATAATAGATACAGGAGCAACAGACTACATGGTCTGTTGCGTTTCTCTCTTTAGTTCTGTCCAAGCCAAAGTAAACTATTCAGTTCTTCTTCCAAATGGTGATTTAGTTAAGGTCACACATATAGGGACTGTACAAGTCACAGACAACCTGATTTTACAAGATGTGCTTTGTGTTCCATCCTTCTCTTTTAACCTGATCTATGTTAGAAAATTAACTCAAACATCTAAGTGTTGCCTCATATTTTTTCCTGAAAAATATTTTATGCAGGACCTTTTGACTTGGAAAACGACTGGAACAGGTGAAGTAAGGCAAGGTTTGTACCACCTGCTGCAAGGCCAAGTTCCCCCTTCAGCTTTGGCAGAAGTTCTTTCCTTCGATTTAAATAAAAGAGCCATGTTAGTTGCTAATACCAGGACTGAGAAGTTTGATCTCTGGCACTATAGGCTGTGACATCCATCTCATTCTAGATTAGACTTGTTAGGTATTAATGATGTTCCTAGGATTACATATGAACCATATCTTGTTTGTCCAATGGCCAAAATGCACAAGTTACCTTTTCCTACTAGTCATCACAAATCCAAAAATAGCTTTGATTTCATACATTGTGATATATGGGGACCATGTAGTGAAACTAGCTATGATGGGTCTAGGTACTTTCTGTCCATTGTTGATGATTATACTAGGTGCACATGAGTTTATATGTTAAAATACAAATAAGATGCAACTGCTGCTTTATAAGGATTTTGTTCCATGATAAAAACTCAATTTCAATCACAAATAAGAGTTATTAGAACAACAATGGAGGAGAGTTTGAAATGAGAGAATATTATCACAAAGAAGGAATCATCCATCAGAAAACCTGTGTCGAAACTCCACAACAAAATGCTACGGTTGAAAGAAAACACCAACATATCCTTAATGTGGCCAGCGCTTTTAGATTCTAGAGTAGCATACCAATGAAGTACTGGAATGATTGTGTTCTTACCAGCGTTTACCTTATAAACAGGATGCCTTTACCTTTATTAAACAATAAAACTCCTTTTGAAAGGCTTTTCAAACATAAGCTAGATTATACAAGGCTTAAGGTGTTTGGATGCCTTGCCTTTGCATCCACCTTAGCAAATCACAAAGGGAAATTTGAATCAAGAGCCAAAAGGTGTGTCTTCCTAGGTTATCCTTTTGGAATAAAATGATATAAGCTCATTGACCTTGAAACAAAAAAGGTATTCATTTCAAGAAATGCGATATTTCATGAAAACATTTTTCCTTGTAAAGGCAGCAATGCATCTGAGGAAGCCAAATTGTCACAACCCAATTCTGTCAATGATGATCTTCATCCTCACATTCCTTCAGTTATTTTTGGTGAAACTGAAGAAATAGAATCAGAAACAAACTCTTC